CCCCCCCGGGTCGGGAGGAACAACGCTCGATGTCCAGCAAAGCTTGGTGCCGATCGCCCCCTGCTGGAGATGGCAGGACCTGCACGGATCAGCCCGCCCAGGCCTCCCGGCCCCAAGACGTGGGTTCCAGGTTTCCTGTGCCGTTCTTAGTAGCTAGAGCGGTAGATATAAACAGCAAGAGCCCCAGACCTGAAGAACTCGGTCTAAGTGTGTTAGGGAACTGCCCGCCACACCCAGAAGTGAAGCGGTCGGATGTCTGGTCGGCCACGTACACGGGCCTGAGTTCCGATGGGTGTAGAAAAGGGCAGGAGAGGGGTGTGTAAAAAGAATAACGCAACAATAGCAAACGCGTCAGCAAGCATGCCCTGTGTCGGGAGCCCGTCTAGACCTTGGGCAGCTACTAGCTCCTTTAAGTCTTGCAACTGTGTTGTCTCCATTTTATTGATGGAGAGCCTGGGGCATGTCAAGTAACTTGCCCAAAGCACAGGGCTGGTAAGTGACCAAGCCGTGATGTGAGGCCAGGTACAATCTCCCCCGCGGTGTAGACGCATGCATGGTCCTGGGTGTGCAAAGCACGGATGGCCGATACTGCAGCTGTCCCCAAGGGGTGGTCACAGCAGCTGTTGCTGGAACCTCCACCCGGTCCCCATCTTGACCTACGCGTGCAAGGCCAGGTCACCCCCTGCATCTGGCTGGTGGCCTCCTGGCTCTGGCTATTCTCTGAGGATTCTCTCTGTGCTGAGTGGGAGGCAGCTGTCTTTGGGGCAGCAAGACGGCAGAGGCACTGAGCGAGTTTGGGACTCCCCCTGAGTGTGTCTATCCAAAGTCATAGTACCCTGTAACCTGAAAACCTCTGGTCACCTTGTCTTCCTTCTCTCTGCCACCACGCGCAGGCGCAAAGACGCCCCTCTACGTGACACTGCCGCTCACGGGGACCAGGGGCGGGGTGGGTGGCCACAGAGGGCTGAGCTCCAGCTGACACTTCACTCTTCTTTTCCTTCCAAACCGCAGCCACTCACCTCTCTAGAAAGCAAAACGGGACACAAGGAGGGACTTTTTCAGTCCTGAGGTTGGGATGCTTCTGCTCTTGCCCTCTTTTGGTGCTCAAAGCGACAACATCCTCTCGGCCCCTCATCTCACAAGAATGGCAGCATGACCTTCAAGACTAATCCTGTTGCCTCACCGCGGCACATACAGAAAATGACCTTGTGGGGCGCCTGGGTGGCGCAGTCGGTTAAGCGTCCGACTTCAGCCAGGTCACGATCTCGCGGTCCGTGAGTTCGAGCCCCGCGTCGGGCTCTGGGCTGATGGCTCGGAGCCTGGAGCCTGTTTCCGATTCTGTGTCTCCCTCTCTCTCTGCCCCTCCCCCGTTCATGCTCTGTCTCTCTCTGTCCCAAAAATAAATAAACATTGAAAAAAAAAAAAAAGAAAAGAAAATGACCTTGTGATTGCAGCCCGCAATAGCTGCGGAACGGGGAGAGGTGTGTAGGCTTTAATGTTGGGATTTTTGTTGTTGTTCTATAATCCCAAGAGAAACAAAACAATCACGTGTCCCAGAAGACTGACTTGGAATACAAATTCCAAATACGATATCCGCCAAACTTATTTTTTAACAGTTTATTGAGGTGTACTTGAGGTAAGATAAACCACGTGTTTTTTTAAGTTTATTTGTTTATTTTGAGAGGGAGAGGAAGGGGCAGAGAGAGAGGGGGAGAGAGAGTCCCAAGCAGGCTCCGTGCTGTCAGGGCAGAGTCTGACATGGGGCTCAGTTTCATGAGCTGTGAGGTCAGGACCTGGGTGGAAATCAAGAGTCAGACGCTTAACAGACTGAGCCACCCGGGGTGGGGGTGGGGGGCTCACACCTATTTAAAGTGTCAAACATCACTAAGGAAACCATCACCACAATCAGGATAATGAACATTTCCATCATGCTAAGAAAAAATTTCCTCTTGCCCCTTGGGAATCCCTCCTTAATGTTTTTTTAAAACGTATTTTTGAGAGAGAGACAGAGACAGAGACAGAGTGTGAACAGGGGAGGGGCAGAGAGAGAGACAGAGACACAGAATCTGAAGCAGACTCCAGGCTCTGAGCCATCAGCACAGAGCCCAACGCAGGGCTCAGACCCGTGAACCGCGAGATCATGACCTGAGCTGAAGTCAGCCGCTTAACCCACTGAGCCACCCAGGCACCCTGCCTTGGGAATCCCTTCTTTACCGGCCTCCCCGCCACACCCCTGCTCCATCTCCAGGCAACCGTGAATCTGCTGTCCATTTCTATACATGACTTTGTATTTTCTAACATTTTATATCCATGGGTTTATACAGCATGTACTCTTCTTTTTGTTGGGCTGCTTTCATTCAACATGATTAATTTGAGGTTTGCTCATTTTGTAGCATGTATCAGTAGCACGTTCCTTTTTACTGCTCAGCGATATTCCTCTGAATGGATATACCATAGCTTACTTATCCATTCACCTACTGATGGACGCTCGTCTTACTTCCAGGTTTCTGTTGTTGTTATTACAAACAAAGCCGCTATGAACATTCATGTACATGCCTTCATATGGACACACACTTGCATTTCTCCAGGGCAAATACTCGGGGGTGGAAAGCTGTAAGTGTATGTTCAGCTTTATAAGAAACTGCCAGCGTATTTCCCCAAGTGGTTGCATGATTCTACACCTCCACCAGCCATGTAGGGTCCCCCACGTTCTTCCATGTCCTTGCCAGGATTTGGTGTGGGTGTGTGGTGATACCTCATTGTGGTTTTACTTTGCACTTCCTCAATAATTAACTATGTTGGATACCTTTTCACGGCTGTGTTCACCACACACTAATTTCTGTGAAGTATCTGTTCAAATCTTTCTCAAAAAATTGTCTTGCTCATTTTCTTACTGAGGCTTGAGAATTCTTCCCATAGTCTAGATATACGTCCTTTATCACATATCGGATTTCCAAGTCTTTTCTCCCCATCTATGGCTTGTCTTTCCATTCTCTCACCGGTGTTTTTCACAAAGCAGAAGATTTTAACTCGAAAGCTGGTTTATCACTTTTTTTCTTTTGTGCGTTGTGTTTTTGGTATCCCATTTAAGAAACCCTTGGGCTGCAAGGTTTTCTCTTTTATTTTCTTTTTGAAGCTTTATTTTTTTTTATTTTTTTATTTTTTTAAATTTTTTTTTTCAACATTTATTTATTTTTGGGACAGAGAGAGACAGAGCATGAACGGGGGAGGGGCAGAGAGAGAGGGAGACACAGAATCGGAAACAGGCTCCAGGCTCTGAGCCATCAGCCCAGAGCCTGACATGGGGCTCGA